CCCCTCAGGTGACCCCAAAATCCATCCAGGTGACCCCAAACCCCATCCAGGTGTGCCCAAAATCCCCCAGGTGTGCCCAAAACTCCACAGGTGTCCCCAAAACCCCACAGGTGACCCCAAAACCCATCCAGGTGACCCCAAAACCCATCCAGGTGTGCCCAAAATCCCTCAGGTGTGCCCCGGTGTGGCCCAGGTGTCCCCAAAATCCCCCGCAGGTGTCCCCAAATCTGCCCAGGTGTGCCCAACCCCCCCAGGTGTCCCCAAACCCCCCCAGGTGTGCTCAGGTGTGCCCAGCTCTCACCTGGCAGCGCCGCAGCTCCAGGTGCCGCAGGTGGGGGCAGAACTTGCTCAGGGCCTGGGAGGGGGAGGGGAGGCTCCAGGTGTGCCCAGGTGTGCCCCAGCTGTGCCCCCTCCCCCCAAGGTGTGCCCCCTCCCCCCCAGGTGTGCCCAGGTGTGCCCCAGATGTGCCCAGGTGTGTCCCCAAACACGCCCAGCTGTGCCCAGGTGTGCCCCAGGTAAATCAGGTGTATCCCAGATGTGCCCCAGGTGTGCCCAGGTGCCCTCAGGTGTGCCCAGGTGTATCCCAGGTGTCCCCAGGTGTGCCCAGGTGTGCCCGGATGTCCTCAGGTATGTCCCAGGTGTGCCCAGGTGCGTCACCTCCACCCCCAGGTGTGCCCAGGTCTATCCCAGGTGTGCCCAGGTGCCCCCAGGTGTGCCCAGGTCTATCTCAGGTGTGTCACCTCCCCCCCCAGGTGTGCCCAGGTCTATCCCAGGTGCCCCCCAGGTGTGCCCAGGTCTATCCCAGGTGTGCCCAGCTGTCCCCAGGTGTGCCCAGGTGTGCCCCAGGTGCCCACCTGCAGCACAGGCCCCACGTGCCGGCTCCAATCACTGAGCACGAACTCCTGCAGGAGCGAGAACCTGGCACGGGCGAGACGCGCGTGACACACGCGTGACACACGCGTGACACAGGTGTGACACAGGTGTGACACAGGTGAGCCGCACGCCCGTGTGGGCGGGGCCGGCCTCACCTGCTCTCCACCAATCGCAGCAGAGGGTTCAGCACCTGCTCGGGGGGGCGGCGGCCGCAGGCGGGGCCGCCCAGGTGAGACCCCAGGTGAGACCCCAGGTGCACCCGCAGCCACAGCCGGGGGTCGGCGGCCAGGTCCCGCCACAGGCGGCACACGCGTGACGCCCTGCACACGCGACAGACACGGGAGGGACACGTGAGGGACAGGAAATGCCCCCCAGGTGTGCCCAGGTGAGTCCCAGGTGTGCCCAGGTCTATCGCAGGTGTGTCCCAGCTGTGCCCAGGTGTGCCCAGGTGTATCCCAGGTGTGCCCCCTCCCCCCCAGGTGTGTCCCCAAACACGCCCAGGTGTGCCCAGGTGTGTCACCTCCCCCCCCCAGGTGTGTCCCAGGTGCCTCCAGGTGGCTCCCAGGTACCCCCAGCTGTGCCCAGGTGTGCCACGGTGTGTCCCAGGTGCTCCTGGTGTCCCCCCAGGTGTCCCCAGGTGTATCCCAGGTGCCCCCAGCTGTGCCCAGCTGTACCCAGGTGTGTTCCTAGCCATGCCCAGCTGTGCCCAGGTCTATCCCAGGTGCCCCCAGGTGCCCCCAGGTGTGCCCAGGTCTATCCCAGCTGTACCCAGGTGTGCCCAGGTGTGTCCCAGGTGTATCCCAGGTGCCCCCAGGTGTATCCCAGCTGTACCCAGGTGTATCCCAGCTGTGCCCAGGTCTATCCCAGGTGCCCCCAGGTGTGCCCAGGTCTATCCCAGCTGTACCCAGGTGTGCCCAGGTGCCCCCAGGTGTGCCCAGCTGTACCCAGGTGTGCCCAGCTGTACCCAGGTGCCCCCAGGTGTACCCCAGGTGTGCCCAGGTGTGCTCACCTGCAGAGGAAGGGCAGCGCCCCCTCCCCCTGCGCGCCGCTCCGGAGGATCCTCAGGACGATCTCGGGGGGCAGCGGGGGCGGGGCCGGCCCCTCCCCCGCCCTCACCTGCCCCGGGGCCTTCGTCCTCCTCCTCCTCCTCGTCACCTGGGCCGGAGCCTTCGTCCTCCTCTTCCTCACCTGGGGCATCACCTGAGCTCTCACCTGGCCTGGAGCCTTCCTCCTCCTCCTCCTCCTCCTCCTCCTCATCACCTGGGCCGGAGCCTTCGTCCTCCTCTTCCTCACCTGGGGCATCACCTGGGCTGGGTCCTGAGCCTTCATCCTCCTCTTCCTCACCTGGGGTCACACCTGAGCTCTCACCTGGCCTGGAGCCTTCCTCCTCCTCCTCCTCCTCACCTGGGCATCACCTGAGCTCTCACCTGGGTCAGGGCTGAGCCTTCATCCTCTTCTTCCTCACCTGGGGTCACACCTGGGCCGGAGCCTTCCTCCTCCTCCTCCTCCTCACCTGGGCATCACCTGAGCTCCCACCTGGCCGGAGCCTTCCTCCTCCTCCTCCTCCTCCTCCTCCTCCTCACCTGGGGTCACACCTGAGCTCTCACCTGGGCTGGAGCCTTCCTCCTCCTCCTCCTCCTCACCTGGGGTCACACCTGAGCTCTCACCTGGCCGGAGCCTTCCTCCTCCTCCTCCTCCTCACCTGGGCTCCCTGTGAGGGCCCCGCGGCTCTGCCGGGGGAGAAGGGACAGGTGAGGGACATTTGGGCCATTTGGGGCCATTTTGGGTAATTTCGGACATTTCTGGCCATTTGGGTCATTTGGGGTCATTTTGGGACACGTGGGAACATTTTGGGGACATTTTGGGACATTTGGGAAATTTGGGGCCATTTTGAGTCATTTTGGGGACATTTTTGGGGACATTTTGTAACATTTTGGGACATTTGGGACATTTTGGGGACATTTTGGGCCATTTTGGGTCATTTTGGGGACATTTGGGGACACTTTGGGACATTTGGGGCCATTTTGGGTCATTTTGGGGACATTTTGTATCATTTTGGGACATTTTGGGCCATTTTGGGTCATTTTGGGCCATTTTGGGCCATTTTGGGTCATTTTGTGTCATTTTGGGGTCATTTTGGGTCATTTTGGGTCCATTTTGGGCCATTTTGGGCCATTTTGGGGTCATTTTGTGTCATTTTGGGCCATTTTGGGTCCATTTTGGGGTCATTTTGGGCCATTTTGTGTCATTTTGGGCCATTTTGGGTCATTTTGGGTCCATTTTGGGGTCATTTTGGGTCATTTTGGGCCATTTTGGGTCATTTTGGGTCCATTTTGGGGTCATTTTGGGCCATTTTGGGTCATTTTGGTGCCATTTTGGGACATTTTGGGGCCATTTTGGGTAATTTTGGGACATTTTGGGGCCATTTTGGGTCATTTTGGGTCCATTTTGGGGTCATTTTGGGTCATTTTGGGGTCATTTTGGGTCATTTTGGGCCATTTTGGGTCATTTTGGGACTCTCTCTCTCGCTCAGGTGCGTCCGGGGCTGTTTTTGGGGTGGGGGAGGGGCACGCCAGGGCGGTTTTGGGGTGGGGGAGGGGTGTCCCGGGGGGGGGTTGGGGTGGGGGCGGGGCAGATTTTGGGGTGGGGGCGGGGCCTGTCCCCTCCCCCTCCCCTCCCCCTCCCGCGGGCGGGGGGATCCCCGGGGTGGGGGAGGGGAACCCGGCCCCTCCCCCCGCCCCTCCCCGCCCCTCCCCCTCCTGTCCGGGGGTCGCGGGGGGTGGGGGTGGGGGAGGGGCGGATCGCGCGACCCCCGCCCGGTTCTCACCGGCCGCCGCCATCTTGGGAAGGGGGCGTGGCTTCGGGGAGAGGGGGGAGGGGCCGTCCCGGCTCCCCTCCCCCACCCCCATAACCAGCAAACCACGCCCCTTCGCCATAGCCACGCCCCCTCCTCCTAAACCACGCCCCCTTCACCATAGCCACGCCCCCTCCTCCAAACCCACGCCCCTTCCCCATAGCCACGCCCCTCCTCCAAAACCACGCCCCCTCCCCATAGCCACGCCCTCTCCCATAGCCACGCCCACTGCACCAAAACCACGCCCCATCCTACAGAGCCACGCCCCTTTACCGCAGCCACGCCCCTCCCCATAGCCACGCCCCCTGGCTTTAGCCCCGCCCCATCCTCCGCTCAGGCCACGCCCCCTCTGCCCATTCCCGCTCGCGCCTCGCTCCAGCCAATCCCCGCACGGGGCGGCGCGGGGTGGGCGGGGCCTCGCCCAGCCCGGCCAATCGGGAGGCGCGGGGGGCGTGGCCGCGGCGGGAGCCGGCCAATGAGCGCGCGCGGGGGGCGTGGCCCGGC